AATTTCACATAGGCTTGATTTGTAGGGCTAGCTTTGTTTGTATTTCTTTCAGAATATTTATAATTTCAAATAGAAGCTCTGTTTATTAGAAGTTCAGCCTTTAAGTATAAAATTGTCTTCTTTGTCAAAATTTACATATAAATGTTTGGTAAATTATATAAAATTATTGAGAAGACCTAAATTTTTTCATATGTTTGAATATCATGTTTGCTTTATAACATAATCCTGGGAGTAAAAAAAAAAATCTAACCTCATACTTGCTGAAGTCCTTTAAATAAAATTAAACTCTGTATTTTCTGGACAAGAATGTCGTTTTAGACAAATTTGTCAATTTTCAACCTCAAGCAGTAGTTAATAATTCTCTTGAAGAACTTTTTGAAACCTGTCCTATAAAAGAATGTATTTAATTTCCAAAAGGAAGTAGAATACTACATAAAAAAAAATTTAATGACAAATCAGGTTTTTACTGCCTCATTCAAATCAGATTTATACCTAGCCCTAGGATTTATGTTGGTACTACAGTTTGAATTTATTAATGTCATTACAAAGATAATATTTTAAGGAATTTGTATCTTTGGAATTTGTTATGGAATATGTTATAAGCAGCAGCTTATTTTTCATCTACTGTCATAGGTAGAAGTAAAATCTGGAGAAGAAGATGAAGAAATTTTATTTAAAGAAAGAGCCAAACTTTATAGATGGGATCGAGATGTGAGTCAGTGGAAGGAGCGTGGTGTTGGAGATATTAAGATTCTTTGGCATACACTGAAGAATTACTATCGGATCCTAATGAGAAGAGACCAAGTGTTTAAAGTGTGTGCGAACCATGTTATTACCAAAACAATGGAATTAAAACCCTTAAATGTTTCGAACAATGCTTTAGTTTGGACCGCCTCAGATTATGCTGGTACATTCAAATGCTGCTTTTCATTTTTTGGACTTGGCTAAAATTTATAACAAATATATAAAATAATTCATAACAATTATTTTGATACTAAGGTCATTGTGTTGTTTTGTTGTTTAATAGATGGAGAAGCCAGAGTGGAACAGCTTGCAGTGAGATTTAAAACTAAAGACATGGCTGATTGTTTTAAGAAAAAATTTGAGGAATGTCAACAGAATTTATTGAAACTGCAGAAGGGACAAATATCATTGACAGCAGATTTATCAAAGGAGACAAATCCTGTGGTGTTTTTTGATGTTTGTGCAGATGATGAACCTCTAGGACGTATAACCATGGAATTATTTTTAAACATTGTTCCTCTGACTGCTGAGAACTTCAGAGCACTATGCACTGGAGAGAAGGGCTTTGGTTTCAGGAACTCTATTTTTCACAGAGTAATTCCAGAATTTGTTTGCCAAGTAAGTATTAACGGTGTAACTACTGAGGTCAAGGAAATGTGCCCCACACTGATTGGGAAATTTGTGTTTCTCTTCTCCTGTAATTTTAAGATTTCTTTAGCTTTTCCACACTTTAGTTGGTGTCACCACCCTAACATCCTATCTCCACAAAAACTTTCAGGCTAAAGTGGTTCAAATTTCTAATACTTGGTAGAAATTGAGGGTGGAAAAAAAGATTATCATTTTTGTCTTCTTTCAAAAAATGGATATTTCTTAGTTTCTAATCACATTCTTAAGCAAGCTGAGCATTTAGGATTTATTCTGTAGTGATTAGTTCTGTGTGTATTTCAGTATTCGGGCTTCCTATTAATCAAAATCTTTTTTCAGGGGGGAGATATCACCAAAAATGATGGAACAGGAGGACGGTCCATTTATGGAGATGTATTTGAAGATGAAAATTTTGATGTGAAACATACTGGTCCTGGCTTACTGTCGATGGCTAATCGAGGGCGGGATACCAATAATTCTCAATTTTTTATAACACTGAAAAAAGCAGAACATTTGGACTTTAAGCATGTAGTATTTGGTTTTGTTAAGGATGGCATGGATACTGTGAGAAAGATTGAATCATTTGGTTCTCCTAAAGGGTCTGTTAGTCGAAGAATTAGTATCACAGAATGTGGACAGATATGAAATCATTGTTTTTCACAGTAAATTTTACCTGTATACACAGTTGAATTGAAGCTTAGCTGTTATGATAATATGGTAATTATGTTCAGCTTTTGAAAATGAACGTTTCCAATGTATAAATGTAAAATTGCAGCTTATAGCTGTCGTCACTTTTTTATGTGTTATAATTGACTTTGCATGGTGTGAAATAAAAGTTTAAACACTGGTTTATTTCAGGTGTACCTGTGTTTATGTACTCCTGACATCTGTATTAAAATGGAATAATACTAATCTTGTTAAAAGCAATATAGACCTTCTCATACTATTGAAGGAATATTATATATGCAATTTAATTTTAATTCCTTTTAAGATATTGGACTTCCTGCATGGATATACTTACTATTTGAATAAAGGGACCAAAACTTGGATAATTTTTATTTTAGATTTGAAATATATTTGGTAATTTTAATTATTGGTGTGTTCATTTATGCATAGAGACTCACGAATGGTAGAGCCAGAGGGTAGAGACTTAACCAAAGTGCTCTTCAATAATCTTGCACCTCCTGTACAGTTAACTTCTAAGTAGAGTACCTTCTTTTCTTAAAATGATATGTAGCTTCCTGTGCCCTTTCAAAGGTATTGTATACATTTTAAACAAGTCGAGTATATCCTTAGATTTTTCTTTTTAACTTTTCTGTTATCTGTTTCTACTACCTCAAACTGCAGCTTGGTTCTGATAGAACTTGAATTTTCCCTTGCAGTTATTGTGATAAAGTATGAATATTTTACAAAGGTCTATACCATGTTCTTTGGTTAAAGATTTGCTTTATACTAGATTGTTGCAGTACCTTTTTCTGGTGAATTTTGTAGCAAAAATAAAGTGACAATTGTTAACAGCCATGACATTTAAAAAATTCATTACTGTGCATCTAATTCTTTGTTTGTTCTAGAACCACAGTAAGAACAATTAAAGTTCTGTAAACTCAGACTGCCACAGAGCTCCTAAAGAAGTGACTTTCTTCAAGTTTGATATACACTGAAAATTTATTTGGGAATGGCTAGTGTCAAAAATTAGTCAAACTGCTAATAAAGGGGGACATACTTATCGGCCTATTCAATACAGAACTACAAAGAAGCTATTTAGAGCACAAAATTTTGTATATTCCAATCATTCCAGTCGCTAACAGTGACTGCCTTTTGCCCTGTAGTGTTCTTCCCAGTGAAATCACCTCATTTAGTAAAAGACAGTGGAGTTTATTCTGTTCTTTGAAGAATGGAAATAAGCTATCCTATAATAAAATAACTGTTCAATCACCAAAGGAGGAAAGGGATGTCATGTATGGTTTGTGTAATGCGTGATGGAAAACGACTACTAAATCCACTTGGCCACAGCCAGATAACTGAAATAAACCTACCCCAATTGAACTACATGAACCTTAAAGAGAACCACATGTATGCATATTTAATAGTAAGAGTAGGCATTGTAATATAAGTATGTAAAGTATAATATACATGTAATATATAAGTTGCCATAAAGTATGTTGTAATTTTTCAGCTGAAACAGCTAATGCTTTTGTCGTGATTTTAGAATAAATTCTAAAGGCAAGTGCACTTTAGAGACTATTTTAGAGAAATCAGTTTTACACTGATTTCTGTGCTGTCCTAAAGCATTAAAATTATGAATCAAAACTTTAAAAACTAATACTTTGAGTTTAATAAAAATAATAAGTAAATCAACTTTTCCAGTTTTAGTATTCCAAAGATGCTAAACAGTGGCTTGAGGCTTTTTTTTTTTGAGACATTTTTAAGAAAGACTCACGTTTCAGGAAAGGACTTCGTGATTTTTCGTTATGTAATTGCTGATGTACTTTTAAAAAGTACTTTATATGTACTTTTAAAAAGAACTGGCTCGATTTTATATTGGCTCATTAAATTCTGCTTAAAGATAGAATATAAAGAAGTCCATTAATTGTATACTTTAATACTTTATGACAAAAGTATTGGTTTAAATAATTTTCAGATGATAACTTTTAGATCTTATAAAATTTTGGTAGTTGAGGAAATTTAAAGAATCCATAGAATCTAATTGTTAGTCCAGGCATGCTGTTGAATACTCAATTTAGAAAAGAATTATACTAGTGTAGTGTAAATGAGAGAAGTTTATTCAGTTTTTCACCAATTAGTTTCTGTTCAATATAGGATTGAGGTTGAAATACTATGCCAATAAATATTGAACACCTGCTAAATGGCAGGCACTGTTCTAGGCACTGGGGAAAACTGTTCAAAGTACATGCTCTCAGGAAGCTTACATTCTAATACTATCTAATACCCTGTTAATGCCACATAGGAAACAGGCCAGTGGCATGGAAAGAGAAAATAATTCTTTGAAATTGCTATGCTTCACAGTACTATAGGTTGATTTTCCCTCCTTTAATATTAGCAAAGGCCACCTTGATTATGTCCAAACACACGCTAAATGTATACGTCAGATACCTTATAGGCAAGAAGCGGGGGTACTACTAGGTCTTGTCTACCCTCGTGACCCCCTCGTCTGTGGACATATCTTGTGTGCTTTCCACGTACACGCGATACGCAAGGGTTAACAGAGAAGGTGGTGACTTCTTTCCAAAGCTATGGACCCCTGAGTCTGCGGTTGAGCTCCTCACTGAATGAGTCGCCAAGCCACAACTGCTTTGGTGCAACCTGGTATGTACGGTCGTCTTAGCTGTACCTTGGACACGACAGAGGAAAACTGAAGTAGCAAAAAGACACTGAAAAGATTAAACACCATTTATATAAACACCATTTATCAGCCCAAATAACAAACTAGTTAAAGGAATTAGTCATTAGATCATTCGACAGAAAAAAATGTACCGCAGGGACGTTTTTAACACGCACAAAGGGGAACAAGATCCTTAGGCTCCGTCCCAACGTCCCCGCGCCCCAGGAGGGGCGGGGCCGTGTCCTGCGTCCTCACGCACTTCCGCTGCGTGAGCGCTGGCGCTGCGCGTCCCGCTGCGTGTTTGAACGCTGTTCCCGGGGAGACAACGGTAGTCTCAGCGCGATGGAGCCAAAGGTTGTCAAACCACCCGGGCAGGATTTCATCGTGGAGCGTCTGAAAAGCCGCTACGGACTAGGAGGATGCTTCCCTGCCGAAGTGAGGCCTCGACCTTCCTCCTTGGACTTTTCTGCAGGCCCGCGGGCAGGCTCTTCCTGGTGTGAAGTTAGCCCCCCGCCCCTCAGCTGCACCCGGGGCGTCGGGCCGAGGTGCAGAAGGCCACCGGGTCTAGAGACGTTCACCAGAAAAACGGGTTTGCAGAAAATTAGCTAAAGAGGGGGAAAACAATTTATAGCCACAGATGTGTAAACGATGGGCGGATATTGCTACATATACGGGATAAACAAATTTTCTATCAGAAAAATTTCTTAACGTAACCTTTTGAAAGTTTATGTTCTACAAAGCGTGGTATGACATGGTTGAAAATATTTTTGAACTTTTTTACAGTAAAGAGTTCAGAAACAATTCCTTTAAAAGGTTTATTTTGAAATAATTTTAAACTCTAAAAAGTTGTCAGAATAATACTCTTTCTTTTGTGCTCTTAACTTGGATTTACCAGTTAACATTCTGCCACCTTTGCTTTACCATTCCCTCTCTCCCCCTCTTTTTGACTCCCTTTCCATAAATACATTTTTTTCCCCTGAACTGCTTGAGGATAATTTGCAGGCATTGTGACTCTTTACTCCCAAATACAAATACTGAAGTGTGTTTTTCCAGAAATAAGGGCATTCTCTTGTATAACCGTAGTAATAATTTTAAGAAACTTACCATTGGTAAAATAATATTATGTAATGTGTAGTTGATATTCAGATTTAACCAATTATCTCAATAATGCCCTTTAAAAAAAAAAAATTCCTGGTGCATAGCCAATCTAAGAATGAGCATTTTATTTGGTTTATTTTTGAAGACTGTAAGATAATTATGAGACTCACTTAGTTTTTCTATTTTTCTTCACTTTGGTTTAGTCTGATGATACCTCATGATTAGATATCGGTTATACATTTTTGGCAGAATTGCTACATGAATGACGTATGGCTTTCTCTGTCAGGAGACACATGATGTTGCTTTGTCTCATTATTGCTGATGTTAACTTTGGTCACTTGGTTAAGATTTCTCCACTGGTCTAATTACAAGTCTAAGCTTTGTAATTATTACATAATTTGTAGGGCACTATTTTGAGACTGTAAGTTGATTCTTAGTATACACATTAAATGTTGTCATTTTTTTTTTCAGTATGATTTTTCAAATTTTAATCAGACTAAATATAAGAGAAGAGCTTTAACTTCCTCAGGTAAGCCAATAGAGAATTTTGTGTATTTGGGGTTTTAACAAATTTAAGAGAAATGATTTTAAAAAAAATGTTTAGACTTTTAGCTATTGCCGGATATCTTTCTGATACTAAGCTTTTTTCAGTCTGGTAATCATGATTTTTGGGATGAATGTGTAAGATGTCTTTAAAAAGTAAATTGAATTTTTCGGTGTTTCAATTACAGTATTTCTGCCTTTAAATATATTAAAAATTGAGTAGTGAAAACTAATTGCTATTTTTTAGGCACAAACTTTTCCAAGTTATTAGGATAATAATTATTGCACTGGAGGAATTTATCAAATAAATGTGCTTGATAAAGATAATTAATACTGTGCGATTGGGTGGTTGAACATCATGGTAATCTGTGACTAACATGTATAGCTAATTAACTATTAGTGTTTTGATTTGTTGATACTTCTTAGACATTCTCTTTACTAGTAAGTAAAATCATTGAACTTTGAGATGGTTGCAACAAAACAGTAGTTAATATCTTTAAAGGTTCATCAGATGGTGGATTAGGGAATTTCCTTTTTTTCCCAAGTTTATTTCATTTTGAAATCTTGTTCAGTATGAAAAATATTTGTTATTACTGAATCTAGTATCTTAAAAATAAATTAAAATTGTATTTTAGTTTTGAAACTTGCCCTAAAATTTCCAACCTTACTATATAATTTCCAAAATATAACTAAAAAGTATAGCTCATTAAATTTCTGAGGGCCAAAAAATGAGTGTTAGAGAAGGGTGCATACATTTAAAAGTATTTTTAAATAAGTTATCAGAGAAGCTATCTTTTCCTTTTTTTCCCCCACTGAATTAAGATAGAAGCTAACAGTTTATTAAACAAATATTTAATATATAAAATGTATAAAATTTAAAAATAAAATGTTTAATGTTTAGTCTTTCTACTTGCTGTTTGTGTACTTGGAAAAATTTGCATAACTTCTCTGGTTCTTAGGTTCCTAACCATTAGACTAAAGTTAAAAGTACCTATTCTGCTTACTTCACAGGATTGCCAGGATTAAATAAAGTAATGGATGAAAGCATTTTGTAATCAGTAAAGTGCTATAGTAAAAATATAATATTTGATGCCTGTTTTCTAGAAATGTGCAATGGGGAGACATAAAAATAAGAAATCATTTAAATAGTGTTGCTGCCTTATCTTTAAGGAGCCTAGAATGAGATCATTAGTATCTGATCTTAGTAAGTATTCTCTATTTTCTTTTTTTATTAATAGGTGACTTGGATATCTACTCATCTGGAGATAAAATTGGTTCCTCATTAAGGTGTTATTCTGATGAAAGAAAGCATTCCACTACACCTCTTTGTAGCTCATTCAAGTACTTAAATGGGAACTGGTAAAGTGCCCCGAGACCTTAGGTTGCTATCTCTGCAGTGTCGCAAAAAGCTGCGAAGGGGTAAAGGGTGGATTATTTAGTGTTTGCTTTTCTATGAGAGGAAGTATAAGCAGTTTGGAGCTTGCTGGATAGTAGTGTGTGTCTAGTAGTGTGGTAAGCAATGGATTTCAGGTAGTTGAGAGAGAAATTGAAGAATTCTCTGTGGGGAGATGGTAACTACAAAATATGTATGATATAGTGCTGGGCTGTGAGGGGTTAACAGTTTTGTAGAGGAGATTTTACCCTGGGTGAAAACAAGTATAAAAATAGTGGACGCTGAGGTGAAATAAAATTCTAAATTGAATCCTATTAAATGCCAAAAATATGTGGCAAAAAGAAGTACTCTGGGTATCAAGGAAAACATTTTGAAATAATGTTAAACCATAAAGGTACATACATATACAAATGAAATACTGAGATAATTATGGAGAGAAAAAATACAATTGTGCCTAAAATATCTATATATTACTAAAATAATTGATATTTAGGAGCTTGAATTTTTTATATAAATGCTTCATTCTCAACTTAAATGAATTAATCCAAGTAAGGTGCTTAGAACTGTTCTGTGCTTAGAAAAGCATTCAGATATGCTATTGTCATCTTTGTTACTGTTTGGCGCTCACAAAGTATAACCTAGTTGATCTGGATTCAAGATTTGGACATGAGGCGGATTAAATATAGAATAAGGAAAGTGAAAATTGCTTTAAGATAATTATGAATTCATAGAAATTATTTTCTTATATTTAACTGCTAGTCTTATAATTTTTTGTTTTTATAAATGAATGATCTGGGTATAATTTCAGATTATAATTTGAATCTTTTGGACTATGAAGGTTTTTATAACATTGGACAGTGTTTTCACAATCTCTAGCTTTGATTTAGTCTAGAATTAGTACTGTCCAGCACAGTAGCCACATGTTACTACTGAGAACTTGAAATGGTGCTTGTCTGAATTGAAGTATGTTGTAAGTGTTAAATACACATCAGATTTTGAAAATAGATTAAAGAATATAAAATATCTGAATTTTTTTATATTGGTTATAAACATGATAATCTTTTAGATATACTGGATTAAATATAATATATTTTTAAAATTTCACCACCTTTTTATTTTTTAATGTGACTATTAGAAAATTTTAAATTACCTTATGTGGCCTGCATTATATTCCTTTTGAACAGCATTGCTTGAGAAATTTCAACTTTGAGATCATCTTTTTGGAGAGAACACCTGAGATTCTAGTTCTCCACCTTTTAGTAGTTTTGTCACCTGTCAGTTATTTAAATGATTTAGGGTTCAGTTTCCTCATGTTAAAGAATAATTCTTTTAGCTAAAATTATAGATAACAATATCTATTATAACTACCTCAAAGAAGTCTTAGGATTCAAAAGAAAGAGTTTGGCATTTATAGAGCATTGTACAAGTATATATAGTTTTAAATTAAGCCCATTTGTATATGTAGGAAGATACTTGTAGTAAGTTTTCAGAATCAGTGATTGTTACTTTTTACATTTGTACTTTTGCATTTTAAAAAATGTTTACTTGTTCCATTTTTCTCAACCGTGATGCTGTTAATGTTTGAAAAGCAGTTTTATCTTTTAAAAATGCTATTGTAAACTTCTAGAATGCTGTGATAGAATTTTTTTTAAAGCCTAGACAATGAACTGGATTCTTCTCAAGATTTGAAGCAACAGGAAACAGGAGAGTTAACTGAGAATGATCATAGAATTAATAGCTCCAAAATAACTAAGCAGTCTTTTAAAGAAATAGAAAAAGGTAAAAGAAATATTCACCTTAAAATAATCATTTGAATACTACCATAAAGCTTACCCCATAGTAATAAAACTGGTCCTCAGGTATCTCTATTTCTGTGTTCTGAATTTTTGTAAGTCATGAGCTAATTACTATGTTTATTATTTAAACTAAAGAAGAGAAAAATAAATTTCATTATTTTCTAGTAGTAGTCCTGAATTTTCAGAACTTATCAAAATAAGTTGAGTACTTTTTACAATTTCTTCAATTCTTTTTCATGTCAGTATTTGTTAGGAAATGAGTGTATTTGACTAATCCTTTATTATTTTAAGAATATACTCCATATTACTTAAGGTATGGTTTCCTTAGACACTAAAGTAGTAGTTAGTCTCTATGTACCTGGCTGTGTTAGGATTTCAAAGAAGGGGCAATCAGAGATGGCATCCTGCCCCTTTTGGCTGCAAGACTTTGAGAGCACTATTTCCCCATTGATAGCCTTATGCATCTCTTCCCCTAGTATATAAAGATATAAAATAAGATAAAGCAGTGAAGATTTATGAACTGAGATTCTGGCACTAATACAAGAACAAATTATTTAAAGGAAGAGGATATAAAAATTATGTAATTGCATGATTATATAATTACAGACATGTAACCTTAAAAACAGGCAAAAAAAATAAATAAAGCTCTTTTTTACATAGATAGTAAAAACTAAAAAGAGGTTGACAATGATTAACATTATATTTAAGTCAGTGGTTAATTCGGTTTAGGGAATGGGGGGAATGTGATCAGGTTTCTGAGGTTAACTACATTTCTTGGCCTAGACAGTTAATACATGAGTGTTTACATGCACATTTAATCTTTTAAAATAATTTCAGACTTAGAGAAAAGTTACAAAAAGAACACAAAAAATTCTGTATAGTCTTCATCCAAATTTTCTAAATGTTAGCATTTTACCACCTTGCTGTATCATTTTTTCTCTAATATATTGCTTGAAACTTTTTAACAGTACTATAACTCAGTAACTTCCTGAAGATGACTTTATCTGAGACTATTTAAAATTGTAAATTAAAAATTTATAATTAAAAATTTATTTTCTTAGCAGTTGCCCAGCCAACTTATTTAGCCTCAAATTCAAGAAATTGGATCGAATGTTGTAGTGATGCAAGTGACTCGCCTTTGAAACCTGTCACCTATCCAAAATCTAAAGCATCAAACAAGCGGAGTTTACTTCCACATCAGATCAATCAGATATATGATGAATTATTTCAAATACATCAGAAATTGCGGGTAAGAACTAAATACTAGATTGAGAGAATGCAGAGTTATTTATTTTCTAAGCACCACACGTTTACAAAATTGGAATACTACAAGGTATTTCATTTTGATTATTTTCATGAAGCGTGTCAAGGTAAGATTGGAAGGGAACAAACCCAATTTATTGGAACAATTGAAGGGGAAAAACGTATGGGTGAGAGAAAAAATATAAACTGATTTTTTTTGTGTAGGTTTAAGTTTTAGATTTTAAACTTGTGTTTTATGTTTATTCTTTGTCAACTCTCACCTTTATCTTTGGGATTTTTTTGTTTTTAAAGGATGTAATTTATGTATTTATCAAATGTTCACTAGGTGGGAGTACAGAAGGAAGCAAAGTATATGTAATACACATATGTTATATTTCTATATACATGAAATAAACATTTTTTAAAAATGCATATCTCATTTTGTCTAAATAATTTAGATTATAATTACCATAGCATTTCAGGAAAGGATTAGTTTGTTCTAAAATCACTGGGAAAAAGTTCAGGGAGAGACTTAGCTTGGTACTTGACTAAGAGGTAGAGTTTAAAGAGAAAGAATGGAGTGGGAAGGGCATTCCAGGTACAAGGAATTGGAAGTGAGAGGTTTTTAGAAAGGAGTGATTTGTCAGATTGTAAATTTATTAGCCTGTCTGGGGAAGAAAATAGTGAAAGCGCAGGCTGGCTATCATAGGCTTTTCAGCAAAGGAGTGACAGAATAAAAAATAGTACATTAGGAAGATCCTTTGCTGATGCTTTATTAGATAAGAAGCAGAGTTATAAGGATATATCTGTCATCTGTAGCAAACACAATAAAAATATAAATATTTAATTTAAAAAATGAAGCACAAGGGATTAATCTGGTTTAATCTGTAGCTTAATCTGACTCAAAATTACTTTGTGTTCTTTTGTGCTAATTATCATTAAGTATGTACATTTTTGTCATACTACGTGATTTCATTCATTCAACAATATTTGGATATCTGTTAATATGCATTTACATACTCAGTGTGGAATATATAGAAGTAAATAAAATATGTATGGTCCTTGCTTGGTATAGCTTATTAGAAGTAAATTGTAAATACTTGTATAATTACGATTTTATAAATTTAAATGACATTGGTACAATATGAGCACCTGATTGGGGTAGATTGAGAGGTTAGGTAAGGTTTTTCTGAGAAAGTAACATTTAAGTTAAACCCTAAAGGATGAGTACAGGTTAATCCAGCAAAAGGAGTACATTCTAGACTGAGACATTCTAGTATAAGAAGCCCTGAGGCATAACATATTTACTCAAGGAAAATGTATTTGATAACAGGATTTTTAAAGCAGTGAAATTATATAATCTAGTGTGTGCTTAAATAAATGGATTGGAGGGAGACAGGTGTGGAAGTTGAGAGACCAAATAGAATATTTTACTGTAATAGTGCAGGTGAAAGATAACTGTAACATGGACTGGGGTGGTAACAGAGAAATGGAAATGAATAGAGATTTATTTTAGAGGTAAAATTGACTGTATGTTTGCTATAGATGATAGATATATCCTTATAACCCTGCTTCTTTTTATCTTATAAAGCATTAGCAAAGGATCTTCCTAATGTACTATTTTTTATTCTGTCATTCCTAGACTTGATATAATGAATTGGATGTGGTATAGGGAGAATAAGGTATTTAAGATGATTCCCATATTTTTGGTTTGTACAATTTGGAGAAAGAATTGACTTCCTGTCGCAAGTTGTGTAGAGTTGGCTTGCAGGTCTCTGAGACCCAAAAGTTGAGAGCTGCCTCATGCCCAGGGGACTGTGCCCGGCAGTTCGGTGTCTTTAACCATGCCACAAAACGACTATATCGAGTTACACCATAAGCACTGTGGATTATCTTGAGATTATATCATGAGATTGGATTATCAGGAGAAAAAGAGAAGGAGGTAGAGAAACTCATGAACATTCAAAGAAGGCAGAAAAGATCTCAAAGCTAAGCTCTACCATAAATAGCACTGTGATGAGAAAATACAAATAAAAAAGCCTATCAAGATGCATGAAAAGGGAAACACCAAACGAAAGAATGATGAAAAGATTCCACAAAGAGCAGTACTTGGACAGAGAGGGATTGTCTCAAGCAAAAGTGCTTTCCAATATGATTAAACAAAAATGAAAAGAGAAAGTTGGAAAATGGGAAGTCTCTCTGCTCAAAGTTTGTGCCATGGAGAAAGAGAGGTATTAAAAGTTGTTCAAACAGGAAAGAGAAAGAAGAAAGCATAGAAGAGGGTGGTTACTAGTCTGCTTTGTTGGAGAACGGCTTTACTCAAAAATCATATAAATATGAAAGATTCATTAGGCCAATGGGCTTTTTTGTTGAGATAGTGAACAAAACTGGAGGAGAGGATTAATATTCTGTTTTTTTTAATTTGTAACTTTTTGCAGGAAAGAAGGAATTATAAATATCTTTTCATTTTCATTGTTTTACTAGGTAACACTTTTAGTTTTTAAAAGTTTATAAAATACGATATAAAAACCAATTATAAAATCAACTGTGTACCCATTGTTCACATTGTATAATGCTAACATTAATATTTCTATTTGATATTTCTAAGGAAGTGTTTCAGTTACATTTGACACACCCTTCTCTCATCCCATTCCTCTTCATCTTCTCAGGATTAAATACTCCCCTGAAAGTGGTGTAGATCTTTTCTGTCATGTTTTATCACTTTTATGTGTTCATATGTATGTATGTATTCTTTTGAGCATTTTAAAATTTTACACAAGTAATGATATATTGTGGAAATCTTTTGGTAACTTTCTTGCTTTATTCATTATTTTGTTTTTTGAGAGTTATATATTTGGAAAATGTCGATCTAGTGAATTCATTTTAACTGCCATATAGCATACCAGCCTATAAATAAACCACTATTGTTATTTTTTTATTTCTCTATAAATATACAAGATGGAGTCTATCTTTTACAAACAGTTCTGTTTAAGTACCCTTAACTTATCAGAAGAAATAGTAACAAGGTGCTACCAAATCATTCTCCAGAGTGGTTGTGCCTATTTATTTATGTTCCCATCAGCAACATCCTGGAATTCTCTTTTTCCCATAATCTGATGGGTATCTCACTGATACTCATTTTCTACCTTTGAGTAATAAATCCATTAATATAACTCTCTGAATTCAGACACTAATGATAAAACCATGTTTTCAAGCATACCAGGATAGTAATCTGCGGTAGCATACCCAAGGCCTTGAGTTAAAAGACCAACAACTTTTATATCAAATCTGATTGCTGAAAGTGTAAGAGATAACAGCCCTGTGTCCAGAAATTATGATTCAGTTCACCAGAGTTTTGTGGATCTTTGTTAATTAGATAACAGCACCATATGAAAAATTTTTTTAGCTTTCATCATATGCTAAGTAAAAGGATTCCAGCCAGTATTTGCCAACAATTGACCAATTGTGGGGGATCTTTCAATAATTGTATTAGAATCCATCTCTTTCAAGGGTTGTACATCTGCCTCAGAAACTGCTGGAACTGAGGCAAGTAAAGGCAGATGTCTTGCTGGGTTTCCAAGTGGAGGCCTGGTCCAATATAGAAACTTATTTATCTGATAATCAGAAGAAAGGCCTATTGAATCTTAATCCATCTCAGAAAAAAGGAAAAAATGATATACCTTCCCAATGGCCTGGCAAGCACTGCAAGAAACAGAACACATCAAATAGTTCTGGCTTCTGGGAAGTCCAAAATCAGGGGTCTGGCAGATTCAGTGTCCGGTGAGAGCCCAATTCCTAGTTCATAGACAGCTACCTTTTTGCTGTGTCCTCACATATTGAAAGGGCCTCTTTTTTTTTTTTTTTTGAAGTGTACAATTCACTTATTTTTAGTATATTCAAAAAGTCACAGCCAATTTTAGAATATTTTCATTATCCCAATAAGGAACTCCCTACCCATTAGCTCTCTCTCATGTCCACCCCAGCTCCCTTCAGCCCTAGGCAACCACTAATCTACTTTCTGTCCCTGTAGAGTTGCCTGTTCTGGACTTTTCATATAAATGGAATGTTACAGTATTTAGTATGCATGACATAACTGGCCTCTTTAACATGATACTTTCAAGGTTCATCATGTTGCAGCAGGTATCAGTACTTTTTATTGTTGCATAATACTCCATTATAGGGATATAGCACGTTTTCTTTATTTATTAATTGATAGACATTTTAGTTGTTTCCACTTTTGGGCTATTATGAGTAATGGTGCTCTGAACATTTGTATTTCATATGCGTGGACATATGCTTTCATCGCTCTTGGGTGTATACCTAGGAGTGGAGTTGCTGGGTCATATGGTAGCCCTATGTTTAACTTTTTGAAGAACTGTCAGACTGTTTCTCAAAGTAACAGCACCATTTTACATTCTCACCAGCAATGTACGAGGATTTCAGTTTCTCCTCATTCTTGACAACACTTGTTATTTTGATTCTAGCCATTTTAGTGGTTGTGAAGTGCTATCTCCATTGCGGGGTTTTTTCTAAGTTTAGTTGGCAAACAATATTTTATTAGTTTCAGGTGTACAACATAGTGATTTGACATTTATATACCTTATGGTGTGTTTACTACACTAAGTCTAGTAACCATTCTCTACAAAGTTATCACACTATTATTAGCTATATTCCCCTTTACCTTTCTTACCCATTCTTCCACCCCCCTCCTCACCCCTGCACCACCACCACCACCACCCCTACCCCTAGCAACCAGTTTCCTCTTTGTTTCTAAGTCTAATTTTGTTTTTTGATTTTTAATTCTACATATTAGTGAAATCATGTGGTATTTGTCTTCGACTTATTTCACTTAGTCTAGTAGCCTCTAGGTCTATCCATGTTGTTGCAAATCACAGGATTTTTATTTTTATTACTGATCATTGTAGTTTTGATTTGCATTTCCTAATGGCTAGTTGAATTCAGTTTTGGACATGTTTATTTTGTGCTGCCTGAAAGCATATAGATGGAGATGTTAAATAGGCAGTTTGGACTTGAGTTTGGAGCTTGGGATAAAGAACTGAGCTGTTGTAGGTTAGAAGCAATTGTCACATGCATGGCTGTTTTAGCCATTGAGTATATGAAAGCAAGCAGAAAGTGTGTGAGGAATGGGAAAGTAAGTGGCTTAAGGGCAAATCTTGAGGAACCTTAGTCATTAAAGGGCAGTAGAGGAAGCAGAACCTGCAAAGGAGATTGAGAAGCTATGGCCAGAGAGGGAAGTAGAAAACCGGGAGAATGTGGTGTCATGGAAACCAATGAAAGAGAAAATATTTTAATTTGGAAGAAAGGGACAATAGCATATAGGTGTACAACATACCTGCTGTTGTACACCATAAAATGCTGTTGAGGGACTCAATCAAATCAGGACTGATTTTTTAATAAGTAAGCCATTTCAATAGGCAGACATGGGCTAAGGCCAGATTAAAGTAAATCGAGTGATTGAGATAAAGAAGGCTCAGCAAGTGTAGACAAAGTTTTAAAGAGATTTGTGAAGGGGAGGAGATAAGTGAGCAGGGTCACGAGATTTCATTTCAGAGGAGTTGGAAGAGATTGAAAATATTAGAGGGATAGTCAGCATAGCAGTCACCATAAGAAAGCAGAAAGCAATGAGATCCTGAGCCTACCTTTGTAATAGGGAGTGAAGGAGAAATGTCTTGAGGGCAGGTTGATGTTTCCTTCTGTCTTCCATTTTTCCTGTGAAGTTAGAGACAAGGCTGTCTGCACGAAATAGCATAGGAAGTGATGTGATCAAATTAAAGAGTGGAGAAAGTTTGAAATAGACACTGTGGAGAATGGGAAATAGAGAGCCAATATATACAAAGATTTCTGGACTGCATTAAGAGGTTTGAGTCCGTGAATTCACAGTGGTACTGCTTTATATGGTGTGTGGTTTTTCTCCAGTAATATTTAGCAGTGTAGCATTGGGGCATGGAAGGTGGTTAGTACTTTAGTGCAAGGCTGGGGTCTTTCAGCCCAAGGTGATAGATGCACCAGGAGGTAAGGGAGAGTATAGGTAAAAGTGGACTGTTAAGTTGAAGTGGAGCATGAAGTAAAGCTGGATAGGGAATTGATTCTGTACATCAGCAGTCCCCAACCTTTTTGGCACCAGGGACTGGTGCTTCTATGAGACTCTAATGCCTGATGATCTGAGGTGGAGCTGAGGCTGTGCTGCTGGCACTGAGGAGCGACTCCAAATACAGATGAAGCTTTGCTTACTGGCTCACTTGCTCATCTCCTGCTGTGGGAACCTCTGCTGTATAGTACTGATCCATTTTGGACACCAAATTCTCTTCAGTTATAGTAGAATTTCACTATAGTATCATGTTATTTTGCAGCAAGATAGAATTTCTGTACAAATTTACTTGCTGTACTAGTCTAGCTAGAACTGTAATCCAGATTTTTCTTCGTATCCATGTAGTCCTAAACACTATTTGATTAAGCTACGTTTTCAGTAAATAAAAATATAATTTGTGGCATTTGTGGATGTACTTTTAAAAACACTTAAATCTGACATTTGATACAGTGTGAAACTGCAGCACAACAGGAATTTGCTGAAGAACTTCAAAGGCGAGAACATTTTTTAGTTGAAAGAGAACAACTGCTGTCCAGGCATGAAATGGCTTTGACTAAAATTAAAGGTGTCGAAGAAGAAGTTCTTACAAGATTTCAGATTATCAAGGAGGTAACTATATAGCATTTGATTTGAGTTTCTCTTTTTCTTCTTAATTTAGATTCACTAATTATTAGCATTTTGCCACATTTGCTTTCATGCACATATACACATTTTTTTCCTGGACCATTTGAAAATAACTTACAAAAATCATGACACAGCACCCCTAAATACTTCCTTAATATTATACTTATTTTTAGGAGTATGTTATCTCCTAAGTACGTTCTCCATACCATTATCAAATTAGGAAGTTAATGCTAATTAAATAATTTAATATACAGTTCGTATTAATTTTCCCAGTTGGTCCTAACAATGTCTTCTATTGCTTTTTTGTTTTATTTTCTAATCAAGGAACTAGGCATAATTCATGCATTATATTTGATTTTTTTTTTTTTGGTCTCTTCAAATCGAGTAGTCAACTTGACTATTTTTGTCTTTTGGTGTGACTTCTTTGAAGACTCTAGGCCAGCAGTCTTGTAGAGTATGGCATATTCTAGATTTGTCTGATTGTTTCCTAACGATTATATCCAGATTAAATATTTGTATGAAGAATATTAAATTATATCTTTATTTCATATCAAGAGATCTGTTACTGTATGTATAACTTACATAGAGTAAAATTCATTGTTTTGAAAAATGCATATACAGTCTGTAATCACCACCATAAGGAATAATAATTCCAGCATTCTGAAAGTTTCTTTATGCTCCTTTGTAGTTAACCCTATCCCTCATCCTCAACCTCTAGCAACCACTGATCTATTTTCTGCCCCTATAGTTTTATCTTTCCCAGAATGTCATGTAAACAGAATCATTACATGATTTTACTTTATCTTTGGTTTTCTGCAGCAGTTCAGTTATGCCGTATTTCCACATGCTTTTCTTTGAGTTTATCCTATTTGGGGTTCACTGAACATCTTGAATTTGCAAATTTATGTCTTTCACCAATATTGGGAAGTTTTCAGTCAGTGTTTCTTCAGATATTTTTTCTGTTCCAATTACTTTCTCTTCTCCTTCTGGATTTCCAGTGACTCATAGGTCTTTTACTGTTACCTTACAGATTTCTTAGGCTCTGTTCCCATTCTCTCATTTTTTTTCTTCTATGTTCTTAAGATTTGATAATGTTTATCTGTCTTTACATTCACTTTCTTCTTTCATTTCCATGTTGCTATTGAGCTCACCTGGTGAATTTTTTATTTCTTGATAAAGTTCTAAAATTTCCAGTGATGTTCTTTTAAAACTATTTTTAATTTTTCTCATGAGAATGTCTGTCTTTCTATTTGCATTCATTTATACTTACCTCATGGAACATATTTAAAAATCTAACACCTGGACCATCTAAGGATTGGCATTTTTCTTGGAAGACTTAGTCACATTTTTCTGGTTCTTTGTATGTCCAGTGACTTTTGGATCGTATTGGAGACCTTGTAGATATTATGTTGTGTAGATTCCGGATCCTGTTATGATCTTCTAGAGAATGTTGGGTTTCTTTATTTTTTAAAGCAGTCAGCCCAGTTAAGTTTAGGCCAAAGTTCTTTCTCACCTGTGGGCAGTGACTCAATCTCAGTTTAGTTGTCAAAGCCTTTGTAGTGTTGCTTTGGAATTGTCTTGTGCATGTGCCACATAGGGGTTAGTCTGAGACTCAGACAGTGGTTTAAATCTTATAGTTCAGTTCTTAAAGCCTTTGCTATGCTGGTTGTTGTGGGTCTTTTCCATGCTCCCAGCATTGCAGATATGGGATTAACTTGAGACTTGGGTGGTTTTTTAAGCTGAGATCCAGTCACTCTGCCTTTGCTCTGCAGCTTTTGGTCTGTGCCTAAGCAGATCAGGGGTGACTCAGATTTGTACAGGTTCCTAAACACCAGAGTGAAAGGATCCTCTTTCTGAGTCTGTCTTCTCTGAATTCTCCCCACATTATTTGACTCACAGGGGCCCCTTTTCCTTAGCCCAAAAGGCAGAATTTATGTCAGAGTTTTAGAAGTGTTGCACTGATGCTGCACTTCTCAGTGGCTGGGGCCTGCCCTAGGGCAAGACTGCTAGAGAACAGGAGAGAAAAAAGAGAAATCAGGAAACTTCATTCCCTTGAGGGTGCTTCTCCAAGTTTTCTTTCTGCATTTCCCTGATTTTGTTTACTTTTCACAGTTTTTGTGTTTTGTCTCAGGTTTTTAGTTGTAATCAGTAAGAAGTTGGGTGTAGTGGGCTTATCTTACCATAAGTAAGTGGAACTCATATTATATGTTTAGTACCTTTTGGATGTGGACAAATTTGGACAATGAGAGCATTAACCTGATTTTTAAAGGAAGCATGTTTGTTACTATAGCCTGTTATTTAAAAATCATTTAATGTAATGATAAAATTACATAAACCTAACTTTTCTAGATGATTGGATTTTTAAACAGGGTTTCAAAGAAGGAATATTTGGATTCTCAGAGCTCTCTACTACTTTTATTGATTTTTCTCTTTAGATTTGTCTGTCTGCTATTTTTATTAAGTAAAGATAACTGCTTTATTTTAATGGTACCTATAGGATTACTTGGAAGGAAATTGACTCAATTTTTGGATTTCCTATATAAACTTGCTTGTTTTAATACATTACTAATAAATTGAGAGTGAAAGGTGAAAGAAACTATAAGTATTCATACTTCAAATTGAAAACATTCTGTCTCCTTTAAATGAAATTAGAGGGAAGGTTGATGTGAATTACTTATAAAACGGATTGAGAGCCAAATAGTTGGCTCAGAAATTTTATTACATATTTAAATTTTTTGAGATGTAAACAAATTTTAGCTACTTCATGAAAACAAGAAATTAATTTGTTCTTTCTGTGGACTATTTCTTTTACTCCTCAAGGGTAACTTAAACCTTAAATTTTAGTCTATAAAGCTATGAATAACTAGTCTCTTAAAAAAGATCAGAAATTCTTTGTTTTATCCCAGATGTCAAATAGAAGTTATTTCATTGAGTTTCTGTGCTGGATTTTTCTGAGCAGAAGCTTAATTGCTGCTTAATTTGTATATGTTTTAATAAATATTTAACAAATGCTTTTAATGCTTTGTTGTTACTTTGGTTGATTGTATAGTTTTTATGAATTATTTGCAATATTACTCATGTATGCTTAAATACACTAATTAAAGTCCTTTTGATTCAGGTAGTTCCAATTTTTAATGTATGTTCAGTAGTATTAGTGACATGGAATCCTTACTTAATTTTTAGATTTGATTTTTTTTTTTCCTCCTAGCAACATGATGCAGAAGTCGGGCACTTAACTGAAGTTCTTAAGGAAAAGAATAAAGAAAGCAAGAGACTAAGGTCCTCTTTTGATGCAATGAAAGAATTGAATGATAACTTAAAAAAACAGGTAAGACCTATTTTAATATATATTAGTTTATAAGACATTCTTAGAACTATATATACTTAACAAATTCTAAGTCAGTCTTAAAACATATTCTGACTAGAGAAAGTTTTGGTTAACTTTGTTAGCTATATTATAAAATACTTCCAAATATATTCTTAAGCTTTTGATTTCTCATCATCTATTCTGGCAACCAGCTGAGAAGTTTGGCAGTTTGAAATTTTTTTGAAATATAAAAGTGATTGCTAGATTTAAAAATAAGCAAAAGAAAAAAACCTGATGACCTGGGGACTTTTAACTGCTCTTAAATACCACTGCTTATTTAACATTCATTTATTTTCTGAGTATCCATTATGTGATAGGAACTGTACTAGAAGGAAGGCTTCACATGTATCATATATTGTACTGTAATTATTTATGTAAGTGTGATAATTTAGTATATTCAGTATTTAATAGTAAAGTTGTATAACAAATATTTTTGAGGTTTTTTCTTTTTCTTTTAACTTTGCCAGTTTTTTTACTGAAAAAGGTGAAAGTGAAGGAATATGTTGAAGAGGGACAGGAGAATGATTATGTGTGTATTTGTGTGGGAAGGAGAAGTAGATGAGCAGAAATTGGGGTAAACTTTAAAAATTAAAGCATTGGGCTGGAACACTATGGACTAAAATGAAACTAAGCTCAGATTTTCAGAGGTAATTTGCCTCCCGGAATTCCTTAGCTAGCTATGTGTTCTTTGTTTCTGTTCTTGATTTCCTGTAGTCACTACTTGTAACCTTTCTTCTTTACAGTGACAGCTAGGTACCTTGTTTCTCTCTTCGTCTTATTCTTTGTCTTCCCTGACTTCATTTATTGCCCCCTACAGTTGGGATCTGACTTAGACTTACTGTTATCTGGAAGCTTACTTTATCCCTAGAGAAATTACTTTATCCTATCACAGTCTCAGTTTCGGACTCAAAAAAGAGAAGGGTTTCTTTAATTGATAGCATAGGTACATCATTGCCCATTCCTATCTTTTAAGTTAATATAATCCTTAATAATTTTACATGTGCTTGTATGAGCGTGTGGAGATCGGAGTGGCTTTGTGCATTATTAAGTGATTGAACCGGTGGATAATTGGATTTATGGCCTAATGTGTCCAAACTGAAAGAGCTTGGGAGAAACTCTTTGTTACCAAGTGTAAGAATGGTTTTTTATGGTTGGTTTGTTTAGCATAGATAAAAAGTCAGCAAATATTTTCTGTTAAGGAGCAGATATTAAATATTTTGGACTCTGGGCCATATGGTCTCTGTCACAATAATTTAGCTCTGCCATCTGAGTGCGAAAGCAGCTGTAGGCAATAAGTGAGTGAGCATGGGTGTGTTTTAATAAGACTTCATTTTTAAGAACAGGCAGTGGTTAGATATGGCCCACAGGCCACAGTTGGCCCACTTCTGGCATGACGAATGATATATGCTTTGAAATTGCTAAATTAAAAGGTAAATTATTTCTGTGACTCATATAGTAATTTATGATAGCAGTGGATATAAATAATTTTGCTTTAGTAATAATAATGTAATAAGAGTAAGAATTTTCCCACTAAGTTTTGCCAAGCTGAGGAGACAAAGATTAATATTAGTTCAAGACTCATTGGGAGAGAGTCCCAGTGAACACCCCAGGCTCACAGTCAAATGCAAGATTGCAAAATAGGAGGAGATTTAGATGTAGATAGAAACCTTAAACTGAAACCTGTCTTTAACTGATCTCAGTTCCAGTTCAGATTAAGGTGATCAATTCCCATTTTAAATACCTAGCAGAGGAAAAGATGAGCCTTCTCTGAAAGAAGATATTGTATGTTTAAAAATTGTAATTTTTTCTCTCATTCTATACAAAATTAAACACAATAAAAGATAGAACCATATGACTAAATATGAAGAGAGAAAAAACTCCAGACAATATGAACATACCTACACGTCATCTAGATATTGGAGTTAGTAGACATTGACTTTAAAATAATATGTTCAAGAAAGTAGAAAAATATTGATAATTTCATTAGAGAATGAGAATCTATAGAAGGGAATTAAATTGAAATTCTAAAACTGAAAAATACACTAATTAATTTTCAAACCTCCAATACATAGCAGATGAGACACAGCAGAGAACTGGATTAGTGAACTGGAGCAGATGAGACACAGCAGAGAACTGGATCAGTGAACTGGAACATAGTTTCAGGAAAAATCTTGAAAATATCAAGTGAAGAAAGAATACAAAAGTCATAAAAGAGAAATGGAACCTAGTTTAAATGTTTAATAGGGCAAAAGCAAATTTTGTGAAGACATGGCCAAGAATTTTCTAAAATTGGTGAAAGATGTCAACCCACAGATTTAAAAAATTTTGTTAACCCTAAGCACGATAAATTTTGAGGAAAGCCATATAGGCACACCATTTTAAGACTGCTGAAAACTTTGGATTAAGATAAAATCTTACAAGTGACCAGAGAAGCATAAGATACCTTCAAAGAAGGAACAGTAAAACCCAAGACTAACTTTTAAGGATGAAATGTCATGTACCTTAAACATAAATAGAATAGAGAGAAAAGCTCCCCATCTTGTTGTACAAAGCCAGCATAACCTTGAAACTAAACCTGTCAAGAACATTACAAGAAAAAAAATGCAAGCTAGTTTCTCATGAATATAGATGCAAAATTTTTGAATATCAGCAAATTGAATCCAGTAGTACATAAAAAAGATAATACAACTAAGTGAATTTAGTTGAGGAATACAAGGGTGGTTTATCACTTAAATATTAGTGCATTACCCGATAAAAAGAGACAAATCATAATTCTTATTGATATAAAATTCAGCACCAACTCATGATAATTACTAGTAATAGAACTTCTTAATTCTCAGAGTATCTAAAAAAATTAACAATAAAATCATACTTAATACAAGTTATTGAAATCTTTTCTCTCTGAGATCAGAATAAAATAGTGTTTACTGTTACTTTTTTTTTTTTAAATACGGAATGCTTCACAAATTTGTGTGTCATCCTTGTGCAGCGCCCATACTAATGTTCTCTGTATCGTTCCAATTTTAGCATGTGCTGACGAAGTGAGCATTACTGTTGTTTCTATTGAAAATTATACTGAAAGCCTTAATCAGTGAAATAAGGGGAAAAAAAGTAAGGCGTGGAAAGGAAGAGATAAATATCTACAGATGACATGATTATGTACCCATGTCCATAGGTAACCAAACGAGTATAGAGTTAAGCAAATTTAGGAGAACCTTTGGATGTAAGCTCAATATACAAAAATCAAGTGTATTTCTATATACTAACAAGTAGTAAATGGTATTTATTTAAAGATACCATAGATAACAGCATCAAAAAAATTAACTCCCAGGAATAAATCTAAAGAAAGATATATAAAACATATATACTGAAAAGTACAAAACTTTATTAAAAGAAAATAAAGAAGACCTAAATAAATTGAAGGCTGTGTTATGTTCACAAATGGAAAGACTCAATCTTGTAAAAACGTCAGTTTTTCCCAAATTAGTATGTGTGTGTATAATCCAATCCCAATAATTCATTACACTGCATACTTATTTGTACATATATTATAGAGTGTGTGTGTGTGTGTGTGTGTGTGTGTATTTAATCCAATCCCAATAATTCATTGCACTGCATACTCATTTGTACATACATTATAGTTCAATAAAAAGTTCAATTAAAAGACATTTCCTATTAAAATGTATACTTGTAAGATGTTAGGAGACTTGCAAATATTGTATAGCATGAAGTAAACTTAGACACTATTAATGTTTTAGGGATAAATGGTAATTTTACCTATGATCTCTAATCATGAATGCTATCTGTGTTTTATTACATTGCTTGGTTATGTAGACTAAATAATAGATTATTTAGGAAACCTTTAGTATGAAATCAGCTTAAGGAATATATTGAAATATCTAACATTTTCTTATTTTAGTTAAATGAAGTGAGTGAAGAAAACAGGAAGATGGAGATTCAGGCTAAAAGAGTTCAAGCTCGTTTAGATAATTTACAGGTAAGTTGTGTCTTTTGACACTAGTGAATTTTAAAATATTGCCTTTGGATTTTTCTCACTTTTAATTTTTCTTTAATTCATGGATATGTACTGTTGCAGAGGAAGTATGAGTTTATGACAATACAGAGATTGAAAGGAAATTCCCATGTTGCTCATGAGATGAAAAACTTAAAACAAGAAAAAGTACCAGTTTCAAAAACTTATAAGGTATGATATTATTGAAAATTTCTCCAGTGGAAAGCCAGGAATTTTTTGTTGTTGTTCTGTAATCTTTTATTTTATTTAGCATACATTCTTTTTGGTATGAAAAGATTCACCATAATAATTCCTTTATAGAGAAATATTTCTGTAACTTTTCAAATTTGCTTTTATTTGCAAAAACAAAAATACTTTAGCAGTTTCAGGCACAGTAACACTGACAAGGCACAGGAACTTAATGCAAGCTAGTTTCTCATGAATATAGATGCAAAATTTTCGTTTAGATAATTTACAGGTAAGTTGTGTCTTTATTCATTGAGTTTGAGATTCCACAAGCCATCCTTATTACTTTTCTATCAAAACTGCAATCCATCCCTTCGATGGACTCCATTTATTATTTTTTTCTAAGATTTTTTTTATTTTGAAATATTGATTATATACAGTAACATAATACACAGATCCTTAAGTATACAGTTTGATCAATTATGACAAATGCTCTAAACTACAACTAGATACAGAATATTTTCATTACCCTATAAAGTTCCCTTGTGTTCCTTCCCAGTTATTCCCTGCAAGAAGTAGTTGTTCATCTGATTTCTATTACCATAAATTAATTTTGCCTATTTCCATTGAACTTCAGTCAGTAGAATTGTATAGTATGTACTCATTTGTGTAAGGCTGATTTTGCTCATCGTAATGTTGAGTGTATCAGTAATTTGTTCCTCTGTATTGCTCAGTATTATTCCACTGTATGAATGTATCACATTTTGTTTATCCATTCTTTTGATAGATACCTAGGCTGTTTCTAGTTTTTGTCTATTATCAATAAAGATGGTAAAAATATTTGTGTGCAAGGCTTTTTGTAGACATGTGCTTTCATTCCTTTTGGAGATATTACTAAGACTGGAATTCTGGGTCATAGGTGGATGTATATTTAACTTTAATGAAACTGCTAAATAGTTTTTCAAAGTGGTTGTACCATTTTATACTTCTGCTAGCTGTTTTTGAATGTTCTGGTTGCTCTACAACTTTGCCAATATTTGGTATTTTTAGTATTTTTCATTTTGACCTTTCCAGTAGGTGATATCTCATTGTGGGCTTTAGAAATTTTGATAAATTCTCTAGTTCTTTTCATAAAATAAATTGAGGGTGCAGTGCTGTTTAAACATGGCAGCAGAGGAACCTCAGCAGCAGAAACAGGAGCCGCTCTTAGGCCATCACTCACTCCAGAGGTATTAACTGGCCTATGATGAAGTTATGGCTCAGCAGGATCAAATTCAGCACGAGATTGCTGCGTAGAACCCTCTGGTCTCAGAGCTGCTGGAGCTCAGTCTTGAATAAGGAGTATGCCTGAGGATGGCATCCATCACCAGAAGATCAAGGACCTCCACAAAATGTACTCATACATTTGCAAGACCAGGCCTGATGGTAACTGCTGTTATTGAGTCTTTGGATTCTCCCACTCAGAAGTGTTGCTGGATATCAGCAAGGAATTGCAGTGGTTCAAGGCTGTGTCTGCCAAGAGCAAAAAGGATCTGGTGTCACGGGGCTTCGTGAGTTCACAGTTAAGGATTTCCACAACAATTTCATAGACCTAATTGAACAGGAAGAGAAGCAGACCTCAGTAGCTGGCCTGCTGGCCGCCTCCTATGACCAGAGGACCTTAGACTATCTGGTGGTCTACCTGCAACTGCTCGCCTCAGGCTTCTTGCATCATGACAGTGGTTCTTTAAATACTTCATCAAAGGTGGGCAAACTGTTAAGGAGTTCTGCCAGTAGGAAGTGGAGACCATGTACAAATAGAGTAATTACATCCACATTCATTGCATTGGCCCAGGCCCTCAATGTCCCTGGAGTCTAGGGCTTGCAGCGAGAGTGGCAGTATAAACCTGCACATCTTTCCTGATGGCTCCAAGTCCAAGACCTCCGTTTTTCTGACCTAGACCCTATGATTTTATGTACAAATAGAGCTGGTCCCAACCTACCACTTAACTGCCTGTCCTCCCCTCTGCCAGACACCAGACATGTACAAAGATTTTTTTGTGGTTGTAAGTGGTCATATTTTATGACTCCCCCATCCCGCTACCACCTTTTTCCTGGCATACAATTGTCCATGTATGTTGCTGGTGAAAAAAAAATTTTTTACTTAAAAAGAAATGAGAAAAAGTAGAGCTTTTATACTCAGGTACTCCAGATGATTGGAATTTTCATCTAAAGATTTTATTTGAAAAGAATTGAGATTAAAAGTTACTCTTGTTCAGAATAATATAACTTTGTGTTTTCAATAATCTGATTCTGTTTTCATGGATTGCTATCAGCTTAATGTTGCCTTTTTATTAGGTTTTTTTTTTAATTCATTTGCTTTTGTATTTTCCTGTCTTTTTAGATTTTTAAAACTAATTAAATACAGCATAGTTCTTTGCTTAGAGTAGATATGTGATAAATGTTGAATTAAATTGACTAAAAGTGATTCAAAGACATTCTAAAATCAGTCTAACTGAACTTATAAATTTTTCATGGCATTTGTTTTTATTTTTTTTCCTCCCATTTTGGTAGACTCAGAGAACAGAATTTCCAGGAAAAAAAAAATCATATCCTGTTTATAAAATGTTGTAATGTAAAGACAAAGGAAGAAACAACATTTTAAAGAAGAAAATATAAAATTCCATGGTGAAAAACATTTAGCTTTTGAAACCTTTAAATTTATTAAAATCTTTTGGTTATGGTGGTTCATGCTCTCAAGGCCAATTTTACTTTGTTATCAAACTTGGATAAAGAATTTTTATGAAAGTTCTCTGTTTTGGTAATACGATGCATTACTTTCAATTTCCTTACTATAATGAGTTTTCTCCCTTTCTCTCAGCCGCGATTTAACATGTTTCTAGTATTAATTGGAGATGTTTGATTTGAAATTTCTTTCAGTTGGAGCTTTTTTAATACATATTTTAGTTAAGCATTTTAGGTAAATTATTCTGTAATCCCTTACCAAATTTAAAGATTGCCTTTGAAGTTTTGTGAGGTTGTAAATTGAAACATTTAATTTAATCTTTTACATATAGGTACCACTTAATGCCCAAGTTTATGAACTTTTAACTGTCTTCATGGACTGGATTTCGGTTCATCACCTTAGCAAATTGAAAAGTGAAGAATCTGGAATGGATGGTGAAAAGCCGCTACCTAAATTTGCTTCTCAAAGAAATGATATTCAGGAGAAGTGTGTAAAGGTTTGTGTTTTACTTTGAAATGCGTGACTCAGTAGACATAAAGATTAAAAAAGGAAAGTCTATGGTATATTTTATAAGAGAAAAAATATCAATCATCAGCTCTAAAAACATTTGTTTCAGACTAATTAAAATTAAATCATACTTATATTTTTCTTAACATGATGGAAACTTTTTTAAAAAAATAAGAGACCAGAAATTAAAAACCTACCCCCAAATGGAAAAATAATTGCATATTAAAGTTAGGCAAATAATCAGTGATGTGAGCAATTCCTGATACATATCATTTTTGGATTCATTCCCACTAAAATCATTTTATTTTGCCTTTTGTCATGAAGAGATAAAAAGTCTTTTCAAGGGTCTTCTCATTAACAAAGAGAAATGGCTATTTTTTTAAATTATATGTATTAATTAGGACATTGGCACTCATGATTTCTAGTTGGTATAAACGGTCATTAGAGCTTGACATTTATATTCCACAAGAAATACATTAAAACCTTGAAGAGTAGACATCTAAAGTTGTTTGGTTTAACTTTTTCAGAAACAATTTCGTTATTAAATACTAGCCAGACTTTTATATTAGGAAATTATTTTCAGTTTTCATCCTTACCTAAAAAGTTTTTTTTAAGTGTCTTTTGTGCTAGGCAGAATAATGGCCCCCAAGATGTTCATATCCTAATCCCTGGAACTTGCCAGTATGTTCTGTTTCGTGGCAGAATGAATATGGTTGCTAATCAGCTGACTTCAGATTAGAGATTAACTAGGATTATTTGGGTGGGCCCAGTAACAGGAGTTCTTTCAACCAGACAAAAGAGGCAGACACATAAGTCAGACTCAACCCATCTTTCCTGGCTTTGCAAACGCAGTAAGATTGCCATGAGCCAAGAATGTGTGTCACTTCTAGAAACTATCAGCCAGCTGTCAGCCAGAAAGGAAATGGGGATCTTAGTCCTACAGTCACAGAGAACTGAATGTTGCCAGCAACCTGAAAGCAAAAAATTGTTCCTTTCTTAGCCTCCAGAAAGGAACACAGCTCTGCTGACACCTTGATTTTAGCTGCTTTAGACTCATATCAGATATCTGACCAGCAGAACTGTAAGAGAATAAGTTTGTATTCTTTAAACCAGTAAGATTGTGCTAATTTGTTGTCAGCAATAGGAAACATATACTTTTTTTGATGTTTGCCTTTTTAGCACCTACATCAACTCTTGTGTTTATTTATATCTAGCCTTACTTTAGAAGTAGCTGCTAATTATCAAGGCCTGCAGTATTAAAGTTCTGTGGAGAAATTTTATAAGTTAGAACTTAAGATATTAAGACTGACAGTTGACAGTTTTAACCAATGGAATATGGATCGTGTAATATTCTATTTTTATATCAGATTAATGGCATAAGAGGAGACTACTTAGCACATTTGCCACGGGATTCTTTTTATCATTCTTAAATATAGTAATTTATTGACTTATTCTGGCCTTAGCAATTTTTGTTGAGCCTAGATCTTTAAAATATTATTTTCAATTTATGGTTACTAATACATTAGTAAAGGTAAAATAGCCTTAAAGCTTTTGAATAGCCTTTTAAAAATTTATTAGAATGACATTGGATAATAAAACTATATAGGTTTAAAGTGTGCAATTCAGTAATATGTCATATGCATATTGCATTGCATGCTCATCATCATTCTTTCTTTCACCATATGCTTGATGCCCTTTACCCTTATCTACCTTCCCTATCCCCCACTTCCCACTGGTAACCACTAAACTGTTGTCTGTGTCCATGAGTCTTTGTCTGTCTTGTTCATTTGTTGCTTTCAGTTTTATATCCCATACATGAATGAAATCATATGGTTCTCAACCTTTCTATCTGACTTATTTCACTTACCATGGTAATCTCAAGATCTATTCGCTGAGTGGATATGCACTTGACTTAACCATTTCCCTATTGCTAGGCAATTAAGTTACTTCCACGTTTTTATTCTTATGAACAATGTAACAGTAAATAATCTTTGTACATGTGCTTTTAGAGGGATATATTTTAGGTGATTTTCTTAGACTAGTATAAGTGGGATTATTTCATTGAAGGTTTAGAATATATCTTTATGGTCTTGAAATCTTTTAGCAAAATGATGTATTTTTGGAGCAAGTTTTCATAAACATGTTTTTTTAAATTTTGTATTATTTTTACAAATTGACATTAATTAAGATATTTATGCCAGACAGACACATAAAGAGGAAAATATCATCCCAATCACATAATCTCACTGTTAATATTTTTAAAAAATCCTTTCGTATATCTCTTTTTCAATACATATAGATATATTTTTTACAAATAGGATCTTATTATGTTTGCTCTTTTGTAACCTGCTTTTATCACCCCAGAATAAACCATCGCAATAATTACAGATGCCATTATCATTTTTCATGTTTATATATGTACCATAAATTTATTTAATTATCTAAGGTTCGGAGAATACGTTTGTATAGGTTAATCTCTTTAAATTCCTAGGTGTGCTAATAATGCTGGGTCAAAGGAAATATACACAGTCATGTATTGCTTAACAATGGAATACTTTCTGAGAAACACGTCATCAGGTGATTTTGTACTGCGAACATCATAGAATATATTTACACAAACCTGGATGGTATAGCCTACTATACCCCTGGGCTATATGGTATAGCCTGCTGCTACAAAACTGTACAGCATGTTACTGTACAGAACACTGTAGGTAGTTACAACACAATGATAAGTATTTGTGTATCTAAATATATCTATAGAAAAGATATAGGAAAAATGTGGTATAAAAGATTAAAAAATGGTATACCTGTATAGGGCACTTAGCACAAATGGAGCTTGCAGAACTGAAAGTTGCTCTGGGTGAGTCAGTGAGAGAGTGGTAGGTGAATTAGGAGGCCTGGGATATTATTGTACACTAGTGTAGACTTTATAAACATTATACACTTAGGCTACACTAAATCTATAAAAAAAATTTTCTTCGGTAATTAACCTTAGTTTATTGTAACATTTTTCTTTAGAAACTTTTAAATTATTTTAAACTTTTTGACTCTTTTGTATTAACACTTAGCTTAAAACACAAACATGTTGTACAGCTGCACAAAAATATTTTTTATATCCTTATTCTATAAGCTATTTATTTTACTTTTAAACTTTTTTGTTAAAAACTAAGAAACACGCATTAGCCTAGGCCTACGTAGCCTAGGCCTATATATGACTGTCTTCCATCTCCACATCTTGTCCCACTGGAAGGTGTTCAAGAGCAAAAACACACAGGAAACTGTCATCTCCAATGATAACAGTGCCTTCTTCTGGAATTCCTTCCGAAGGACCTGCCTGAGGCTCTTCTCGAGGAGGTGTCACTCTTTTCAGAAATCTGCTCATGGTGGTTTGCTTGGTTTCTTTCTTTTTTTCCTTATAGATTTTCCTGTAAGCAGATAATACATCATGAACATTCCTCTCTATTGACGAAAACCTTTTGGTGTTGGAGTCCATGTTTTCAAACTTTTTAAGGAGCTTGTTGAGGCCTATAAAAGCTTCTGCTAAACTTTTTCACTGACTTTTCTTGGGGGTTCTTCTTTTTCTTGTGCAATTTCCTTCTCTTTTGCCTCTTTTTCAGCTACGTGTACCTGTTTCAGTTCCAGCAACTCCTCATGAGTCAATTCCCCAGGAATCACCTCTAGGCACTCCTTAATGAGCATCCTTATCCACATCCAGGTTAAAGTTGTTTTGCATCTCAACCACAGCCTTGTTGATTTTTGAAACCTTTGTGCTACAACCTTATGATGGCCACATCCTCACTAGGTGGTAGGAATTTTAATCTCATCTCTATTAGTAATCTTACGGGACCACCATTGTACATACGGTTCATTGTTACTGAAATGTCTTTATGTGACAAATTACTTGTATTTAAAATTTCAAATACATATTTCCATATTGTATTGCATATAGTTTTTTCACATAAAAATTCTTAGTTTATTAATCCCCTCATGAAAAATCTGTATAATCTCTACAGATAAAGTCACTGACAACTCTTTACTCCTTTTTGCCAGCATCAATATGGCCTTTGGGGTCCCCTTAACTTTATTCTTCCTGTTCTTGTGTTCCTTTTGCTGTTTTCTTGAGGTCTTTTTCTTTTCATACAGGCCATGTCTTGGAAATCTGTGTTTGAGTTCATTTTTCTTTGTGTAATCCAGGGAATCACAAATCATGCCACAGCCAGTTGTCTTGCTGCCTTTTGGATTCAGAAATGGGTTCTGAATCCAAATACAAAGATGACATCTGGTGTTGTATACTTTAGCTAGTTTTTCCTGAATTTCTGTCTTAAGTATTATTGCATTTTCAGGCTGAAGGACGTCAGTGACCGTTTCTCATGAGTAGTCTATTACAGGTCATGAACTTTCTGGTGCAGGTAGTTACTTTGTCATTTATGATGACAGCTAACACACTAGCAGCCGGAGAGGAAAAGCACATGTAGTTTTAAAGTGATATTTTTGTTAGAGAACTCTCTTTTCTTTTGGAAAAAGATAATTTTTAGAAAATTGTGGTAATTGATTTCAGTTATCTAAAAATACTGTGCATTTATATTTCCATCATTTTATCTTTAGCTTTTGCCTGTGATGACAGAGCAGCTACAGTGGATGCCATTTGTGAATGTCAAACTTCATGAGCCTTTTGTAAAATTTATATATTGGTCTCTTCGGCAGCTAGATGCTGGAACACAGGTAATTAATAGGAGTCTATCTTCAACTACTATTATATTTAGTATTATTTCTTTTGATCTTGTTCTTTCAATTTTTTTTGCATGTGTTTTGTTTATATTTCAGGACTTCTTGCTCCCCTTGCTTTATTTACTACTTTCTCTTCTTTCTCCTTTTATATATCTTCTTAATGCTGTCGACGTGATTTAATATGTAGTTGTTTTTTGAGTTTCAGAATTGTACAAATAAGGAGTTGTTAAAACCAGCTGTCATCCCCTCATTATTTAATTCATAATTTTTCATATTCTACTGAAGGTAATACAAATTAATGATTTCTCATGCTTATGCCAATATATACACACTAACTAAATGGAATGATGATTATTAGGATAACTTAGTCAAAGAAGAAAAGTTATTCCAGAATCTTATAAAATGAAAGGTGTGTTACCTACTCACATAAGGGTCATTTAGTTCAAATTATGACATGCATATGTAATCATTTGTAATATGAATTGTAGTAAAATTTTTTTTTCCCAGTTACTATTGATAAATGCTATTATAGCTTTCATTAGTTAAGAAAGAAGAACAAATTTATGCTCAGGAAGTTTTATCTTGGTCCTGTGGAACTTAGGAAGCACTCAATTAAACCACTCACTGCAGTACTGATAATGAAGTAACATTAACGGTCAATGATTGAGTAGTGTGATGTTTAACTAGTGTGGTAATTAAGGTTAAGGAAAATATCTTGCCTGAGGTGATATCCTAAATATTTTGCCTTCATAGTGCACATGAGTAATTACATGAGTATTTGTGCGAGCATGTATGCGTGTGCACGCACACACAAACACACAGAATAGCATTTTTAATTTATTGATCTTAACTGTGTCTTACCAAATAAAGGTATATAAATTATCAAATTCATTAATGTCACTATCTTTTACAATCTGTTTGATTTTGCTGTTTGTGTAATGATTTCTGAAAACAGTTAACTGAATGCTTGCTTTCAGCAACCAAAAGGTTAGACTCACAGAGCTGAATGAAACTTTATCTTCCTTCCAAATGTTTTTCTCATATTCATTCAGATAATTTATAGTTTATTTTTGTTGTCTTCAAATATATATTCAACACTCCACTCTTTATGCTGTTATAGACAGTATTGCGAGCCTACATCTCTTCTAGTGAAAAGTACTGTTCTTGCCACAAAGATGATCATTTAGTCAGCATTTAGTCAGCATTTAGTCAGCAGTTGATGGGTTTTTAATATTTTAGTTTTAACAGTTGTCTAATTGCATGTACCTTTTTTAAAAGCTAGCTTTTTATTTGAGGTAATTGTAGATTCACTTGTAGTCCTAAGAAATAATAGATCACTTGTGTCCTTTACCCAGTTTCTCCCAGTTTTGTAACATCTTGCAAAACTAGTACAATATTACAACCATGATATTGCCACTGATATAGTCAAGTTAACAGAACAGTATATAGCTATTCCACATTGACTTCTTTCACTTAGCAATATGCATTTAGGGTTCCTTCATGTCTTTTCATGGCTTGATAACTCATTTCTTTTTTGAGCTGAATAACATTTCATTGCTCAATGTACCATAGTTTATTTATCCATTCACCTACTGAAGGACCTCTTGATTGCTTCCAAGTTTTAGCAGATTTCAATAAAGATGCTATAAACATCCAAGTGCAGGTTTTTTGTGGCCATGTTTTTAAGTCCTTGGGGTACATACCAAGAACAGTTGTTGCATAGAGTATGGTAAGAGTATGTTTAGTCTTTTAAGAAACTGCAAACTGCCTTCCAAAGTGGCTGCACCATTTTGCATTTCCAGCAAGAAATGACTGCGAGTTTCTGTTGCTTTACATCCTCATCAATATTTGGTTAGGTCAGTGTTTTGGGTTTTGGCCATTCTAAGAGGTGTGTAGTGGTATCTCAATGTTATTTTAATATGCAGTTCCCTAATGATATATACTGTTGTGCATCTTTTCATATGTTTATTTGCCACCTGTATATTTTCTCTGGTGACATGTCTGGGTCCTTTGCCCATTTTTTAATTGGATGGTTTGTCGTCGTCTTGTTACGTTTTTAGATTTCTTTCTATGTTTGGGATAATGGTCCTTTATCAGATATGTCTACTGCAAATATTTTCTTCTCCAGTGTGTGGCTTATCTTCTCATTCTCTTGACAGTGTCTTACATAGAGCAGAAGGTTGCAATTTTAATGAAGTCCAGCTTATCAGTTATTTTTTGTGGCTCATGCCTTGTTGTTTTATCTAAAAAGCGATCACTGTACCCATGATATTGGTACATATTTCTGGAGAATTGAGCCTTTGTCTTTATGTAATGCCCCTCTTTTCCTTGGTAACTTTCCTTTATTTAAGTCTGTTTTGTCTGAAATTAATGTAGCTATTCCAGCTTTCTTTTGATGAGTGTTCACATGGTATATCTTTCTATACATTTACTTTCAATCTATATATGTCTGTATATTTAAAGCAGGTTTCTTGTAGACAGTATATAGTTGGGTCTTGTATTTTGATTCAGTCTTACAGTCTCTAAATTGGTGTATTTGACTGTTGTTATTTAAAGCGATTATTGATATCATTGGATTAATATCTACCATAGTTGTTACTATTTTCTATTCATTGATATTGTTCTTTGTTCGTGTTTTGTTCTTCCATTCTCTTCTTGCCTTTTATGGTTTCAACTGGACATTTTAAATGATTTTACCTGCCCTCCTTTCTTAGCATATCAGTTGTACTTTTAGTTTTACATTTTTAGTGGTTACCCTCGAGTTTGCAATATACATTTACAAGTAATCTGAGTCTACTTTGAAATTACATTACACAGCTTTACATATAATGTGAATACTTGATAATAACAAAATATTCGTAATTCCTTCCTTCTGTCCCTCATGCCCTTGAATCATTGCTGTCATTCATTTCACTCATATGTAAGCATACATAAGCATGTATATATATATATACATACATATATATACATGTACATAATTCATTGTTGCTTTTATTATTTTCAGTAAACTGTCATCTGTTAGATCAATTAAGAACAAGAAAAATAAAAGTTTTTAATTTACCTGCATTCCTTCTCTAATGCCCTTTCTTTACATCTAAGTTTCCAAGCTATATAATAACTTTTCTTCTCTGTAAAGAGTTTTTTAAAAAAATAAAAAATGAAAAAAATTAAAGTTTTTATTAACATTTCTTGCCAGGCAGGTCTACTAGTAATAAATTCCCTCAATTTATGTTGGTCTGAGAAAATCTCTATTTCTCCATTTTTGATAGATAATTTCACAGTATATAGAATTCTAGGTTGGTGGGTTTTTTTTTCTCTCAACACTTTAAATATTCATGATATTCTTATACTCTTCTTTTTTATTTTTAATCAACTTTATTGAAGTATAATTTACATACAACAAAATTCACCAACTTTAAAGAGTATAATTCAGTGTTTTAACAAAGGTATAGTCATGTAATAGCCAACAAAATCAAGACATATAACATTTTAATCACCCCAAAACATTCCCTCATTCCTTGTTAGAGTCAGATCACAGTCTCATCACCTGGCAACTCCAAGTGTTCTTTATGTCACTGTTTTTGCCTTTCTAAAATAACATATTTCCTAGTCTTTCGTACCCATCTCCTTTCACATCAAAGAATGTTTTTGAGGTTTATGTTGTGTGCCTCATTGATTTTTTTTCATTGTTGAGTAGTATTCCATTATATGTATATACAACAATTTGTATGTCCATTAATTAGTTGATTGACATTTAGATTATTTCCAGTTTGGAGCTATTTTAAATAAAGTTAGTTGTAAATAGTCACAAAAGATTTTTCACATTGACATATGTTTTCATTTCTCTTGGGTGAATATCTAGGAAAGACTAGCAAGTCATATGATAACTGTAGCCGTTTTAAACTTAGCCATTCTAGTGGATGGGTAATGGCATTTAACTGTGGCCTCATATTTCTCTTATAACTATGTTGAGCATATGTTTATGGCTTGACTGCCACTGGTACAGCTATTTGGTAAAGTGTCTGTCCAATTATTTGCCCATTTATTTATCCAAGATTTTTGTCTTTTTGTTTTTGTTTTTTACACTATATTTCAAGTTCTTTCACACACGTGTATACACACACACACAGACACACACACGCACACACATACACACATAATATTTTCTCCCAACTCTGTGGCTTAACTTTTCATTTTCTTAATAGTGTCTTTTAAATAGCAAAGTTTTATTTTATGGTTCTTACATTTTGTGGCCTCTCAAAACAAAATCTTTGTCTAACACGAGATCACAAAGATTTTTCCTATATTTTCTTCTAGAAGGTTTTTATTTTTTGTTCTTATATTTAGATATATGACACAATTTGAATAAAAAACCCATTTGATTGAGGGAAGGGTCATATAAAGGTTTGTTTTTGCAAATGCTTATCAAATTATTTTAGCACCATTTGTTATGTCAGGGCCTAGGGAAGACTGCCCCAAGATATCCCACAGTGGCATATTGATTATTTTGAACTAAAATCATCTGAGAAGCAGCAGGAACCAGAAGAGCTCTCTAAATCTCCTCTGTCCCTCTAAAAGCAAGAAATAAATTTCCATGATAGGTACCCTCTCCCCTCCTCAGAGCTGAGAGACAACCTCATCACAAGAGATATAAAATCGAAAGTGTATAAACAAACCTTAGATTAGAATGCCTTTACCAATTTACTACGTAAGCATAAATCTTGCTTAGATTCCTTTTTAAAAAAATTTTATTATTAGTTTGAAGTTAGACATTTACGTAGTTTATAAAATGATCCCCCTAATCGCTCTTTCTCTCTGGCTCTCTACCTAGTCATTACATTAATGCTAACTGCATTCCTTATGCCGTGCTCCCCATCCTCATGACCATCTATCAACTACTAATTTGTACTTCTTTAACCCTTCACCCCTTTCTCCTGCCACCCAACCCCTCTCCCCTCTGGCCATCACCAGATTGTCCACTATATTTGTGAGTC